GGAGGGGGGGGGGGTTGTTATTGTTGGTGGTGTGTTTTTTTGTGGATAATGGTGGAGAAATATTTAATAGGCTAGCTCTTAATATTGTTGTATGAGCGACAATTGGCATCATGACTTCTTTTATTTTAGGTACCTCAAGAGCTTGATGGAATATGTGTGACAATGATTTTTTAAGATTCCAATCAGTTGGATATAATTGATGTAGTCATATACATTTGTGGCTTTTTTGATTAGTTCAGAGATGAGAATCAACTTTGATGGATGCTAACTTGGCAATCCAACAATTTTTGTAGGAATGATAATATAGATTATGATGGTAGTTCGTCTTCTTATGTAGATTAGCAGACTTGGGTTGAAATCAAAACAAAGGTTGTAGCATTATTTGAAAGTTTTTGTGAAGCATGTTTGCTTGGGTTGAATGCATGTTTCAAGGTTACAGTATCGACTATTTACTCGGAGAGTTCTGAGATACATCATTCGCGACGTCACGGTATCGAATGATACAACCTAAAAGAAATTGTTGAACATGACGAGAAATTTGATCATATCGCAACATCGCAGAACCGTATCGGCTAATTCGGTGATGACAACTCAAAGACTTGGGATTGACTTGGATACAACTCAGAGGAGTCGTACGAGACTCGATGTTTATATGTATCTTGCAACGGTATCATCTCGGCATACACTGAGTTAGATACGACTCGGCCGACTCGTATCAGTATTGGTCGATACTTTGAACCATAGTTGAATATGATTTATTGAAGGACCATTTATGGTGCTTCACACACTTCTTTCCATGCATAAAATGTACAAAACTACTCAATCAAAAAAACATTGTTCTTCAAAATATGAGGTTCATTTCTTAGGTCCATAATCCTAGCCATAAGATTTTTGCCCCATATTTTCTATAAAAATCACCAGTTTGAAAGAAAACTCTTGGAAGTTTTGTTTTTGATTTAGTTAAAAAATATGCTTTTGGACAATTCATTTAAGGGATTGCTGAGGTTTTCCGAAGATGTTAAGTTTGTTGTGGTTAATGGCGAGAGAATTCATTTTTGGAAGAATTCATGAGTGGGAGAGTATTCGTTGTCCTATTTGTTTCCTTGCCTTTATCATTTATGACACTTTCATGACTCATCCATGGCGTCTATATCTTGGTCGTATGATTCTCCGTATTCGTGGAATTTTGGTTGTTTGTAGGAATTTAGATGATAGAGACACTACTAATTTCATTTCATTTCTTGATATTCCTAATAACACTGTTATGAGTAATGAGTTTTTGGACTGACAAACCTTTAGTCCAGTTGTACTTCTTGTCTTATGAAAGTTTTGTCTTCTTGAGGTCAAGGGTGCAAGACCCTTGACCCTTTCCACCACACCCAAAAAAAAAAGAGTATTAGAGCCCAGGATAGAAGAAGGTGGATGTTGAAGTCTTCCGGAGTTTTTTCGTGTAGATCTTTTTTTAAATCTTTGTTAGGGGAAAATTTTTATCCTTCTTTTCTCATTGCTTTGATGGTTTGAAATGCTAAGATTCCTTTAAAGGTGCAAGTTTTTGTATGGGTGGTTGCACATGGGAAGATTAACATTAATGAAGTCTCATACCTGTCTTTTCCCTTGGTGATGTGTGGTGTTTAAAGGTGATGTTGAGAGTCTTGATCATTTGTTTCTTCATTGCCATGTTGCTCTAATGTGGTATCATTTGTATAGAGAGGCCGGTTTGAGTTGGGTGTTTCCCGTAACATGTATTTCCTTATTTGTAGAAGATGTGAATGGGTTTGAGAGACTTGATAAAGGTATAATCTTTGGAATTGTGCTATCATCGCTATTTTTTGGGTTATTTGGAAAGAATGCAACACTAGAATTTTTGAAGATCAGAATGAGTGTGCAGTTGAACTATGGGACCATATTCATTTCTTAGCATCTTTTTGGACTTCGGTTTCAAACGCTTTCAAAAGAATATCACTTTTGGCTATTCTATAGCTGGGTGGAGAGCTTCATTTGATTTGTAGATTTTGCTTTTCTTTTTTGTTATTTTTTTTATTCCTATTTTGGTTTGTTGTCTAATTGAATCTCTCTTGATGTACTTTGACGTTTTTAATTAATTCCAAAGTTCCATTTTTTATAAAAATAAAATAAAAATCATCATTGCCCCTTCGACCAAATAAGTTTGTGTAAGGATTTGCGGCCTGATGACCAGTCCCCTTCTCAGCAATTATAGTCCTCCACCCATGCCACCTCTCACCGCCTCCTCTCTCTCTCTCTCTCTTGGATTTTTTTACATAAATGCAGTAATTTTCTCCATGATTAAGGGTAAAAATTTAGCTTGAGATACTCTCTTTTTGCCCCCATATTTTTTTTCTTCTTCATTATTTCCACATGGGGATGTGATTGTGAAGTATCCCTCTCATGTTGTGATTCAAGAATTCACTGTTATGCTCTTATGTGTGAAATAACTAGGAATTTTAGGGGTTTTATTTTTCCCTTTTTGATCCATTGACTGTGTTGCACTAGGGCCACTCCCTGCCTCAATGGATACAGGTTTTGATTGAAATAGATTTATGACTGTCCAGATATTGGTAAAGTCTATATATATATATATATATAAAGCAAGCCCTTTTGAAAATAAGCCACTACTACATATGGGGTACTCATTTAGATCTGTGTCCAGCAGAGAGAATGAACCTACAGAAGGCTGAAAAGCCATAGCGTGCTAGCTCTAGCTACTTCGCACTACAACTTAGTGTCTTTTATTTGCTGCTGCCGCCTTCTTTTTTTTTTTTTTTTTTTTTTAAATAACAAATTTTATAACTACTAAGAAATGGTAGTACACAAAAGAGAATGGATGGACAAGTAGTCCGATCCTCAAACTAAAACAGAAAAAACAGCTGTTTTATTTTTTATTTTTACCTTTAAACGAAAGCAATTGTTAATGCTTGTAGCTTGCATTCTGTTCTTGGTCAATTTTGAACTGATTACCTTCCTCTGTCATCTCTAGTCTGTCCAACTAGTCTAGCTGGCTCCTTAACTTTTTAGCTAGGCTAGATTGGATGTCCTAGTTACTAGATGTTTGTGCTTCAACTGTATAGCCATACAAGGTTAACATTTGTATTGCTTGTAGGCATCAACATGTGCCATTTAGTAGCATTTTAGGGGTGGTGCTTCAAGGATGGGGTTGATGCCCCAGCGTGTGACCTTCGGCGGAGGAACTAGCTGAATTGAACGCTTTCATCTTAAGTCAACTGCCTCGAGAAGGGATTCATCCTTCAGCTATAGGATTAGAGGAGTCTGCTTTCATCCCTTGCTTCTTCGATTGACTTTCATTCAATATCCTATTCCCGCTGTACTGCTTCTGCTAACAGTAAACGGTCAACTCTCTCNCGCTCAAACGGCACATCCCCTCCTCTTCATCAGGCCAGTCCTTATCCGAAGTCTGGGATATTTTGGCGGATCGTGCTTGTCCATTTACTTCGTTTTTCTCTTTCAGTGGCCCCTTTTTCTTTTCATACTTTTGGTCTCTGTAATGGTTTTATGAGACCTTGTTCCAGTGCTTTTTCAGGGGTAAAAACTGAGATTTTGAGGGTATAAAATTTTCAGAATTTAATTTTTTACGTTATGAGCATATAGGACCAAGAAAATTCTCACCTTATTCTTGGTACCTTGTAATGTTTGCCTTGTTCCACTGAACAATATGTTTTTTTTTTTTGGAGAGAATGGGGGGGGGGGGGGTATTTGGCTTTGTGGAAGTTAAATGCCAAGTAATTTTTGGTGGTATGTATTATATTGATTCTTCATACTTACCTGTCTTTACTGATTTATAATATGAAGCTTTTGATTTGTTGTTGCCTTATGCTGTCTTCTTAAAGTAGCTAGTTACTTTCACAAGGTGAAGAACTGATCATGTTTATAATCCAAGGCTGCTGTGTGATAACACTTCTGTTGTTCGGAACACTGCATGAATATTGTCAATCATCAATTTGGGATTTGCTATTTCATTCAACTTGCATCTTGTTTGAAGCTCAGTGCTCTAGGACTCATTCTAATCATGTTGTGCTTATCTCATTGTGGTGCCCTATGTCATTACCTATCTGTTTCCTTTTTGCGTTCATTTCGCTTTTGTTCGTAAACATCTGCCAGTGCATTCAAAGCAGCAATTAATTTAGCATCATGGAAAATTGGAGAGAATAAAGGACCATAATTTGGTGCTACAAAAGGATCTAATGCAATGCCTTAAACTTGCTCACCACCATATTGCTGACTATGATCTTGACTTCATAGTTCATTGTTATTGTTCTTCTGATATTTCTCAAGACTCCTTCCAATGATTAAGTCTGCCCTGATCCCTTTTTTTTATTGAATTGATTTCTTGTAGTTTTCATGAGACTATCTATTGATCTATCATGTTTTTTGGTCAAGGGTAACAGTGATATTGATCAATTAGGAAAGATCTTTGCGGCTTTTGGAACTCCAAGGCCCTCTCAATGGCCTGATATGGTCTACCTTCCTGACTATGTGGAATACCAGTATGTTACTGGACAGCCTCTTCGGACATTGTTTCCAATGGCTAGTGATGATGCCTTGGATCTGTTATCAAAGATGTTCATGTATGACCCCAAAGCTAGAATTTCAGCACAGCATGCAGTAGAACACAGGTATTTTCTATTTCACATCTAAATTTGATAGTTTACAGTTACTGGATGTAATTGTTTCTTGTCCTCTTAGGTACTTTTCATCTGTTCCACCACCTACTGAACCAGCTTTGCTCCCAAGACCTCCTCCAAAGCGGGAGTCACTTAACTCTAATGTTTCAGATTTCAATCCACAGGAGGGTCCAACTGTGTTGTCTCCTTTAAGAAAGTCAAGAAGAGTAATGCCGCACCGTGAGAGTCTTGAAGGAAGTGCACACCAAGTAAATAAAATTGATGATCATGGAAATGAAATCGGACAATCAGCTGGAGGGAGGAGTGAGCATGCACCGATGTCATTAGATTTTTCTGTCTTTGGAATGAAACCTACAACTAGACCAACAATTAAGAGGTAAATCAATATCTATGTAATTATATTTACTCAGTGACCATGTAGGTGATATTTAGTTATTTTACCCCTTGTAAACTTCCGAGTAAAAATTGATTTTTAAGATAAAAATGTAATTTCAGCTTGAGTATGGAATTCTAGATGTTTAGTGTTAATTATGGCTAGTTTTTTTTCCATGGTGACAGTGGGTTATCATCTGGCTAATAGAGCACTGCCTATTGGAAGGGGGAAAATGGTTATCATGTATTTCTTAAATTTTCAAACAAGCAGCTCTAATTATAACCTGATCCAGCTCTATTTCATTTTACCATGATTAATGAAACTTCTTGTTTTTAGAATGAATTCATAAATGAGTTTTTTTTTTTTTTTTTGGTGACATCAATTTTTTAGCAGGAACGAGATTGAAAAATCGTAACTCCTGGAAGTAGAAGACTACTTAAAAGCTTACTTTAATCTGAAGACTTCCTAAATTACATCTTTGGTAACATGTATTATGATTCAATTCTGTTGTGGGTCTGATGAGTTTTCCTCCTTAAATGTGTTGGTACCGAATAGCCGAATCACACTGCTGGTTAGTATGCCTGTGTTCTAAGAAGTTTATGAGTTGTCCAGATCTCCCAACAGGGGGATTAAAGTATCTAGAGAGAAACTTGTTTATAATTTTTTGTCCTTAGCTGGAAATGGTTTATTAATGTCTTTTCAGAGGATGCAAATATGAGAAAGACAAGAAGATAAACTGTAGAATATTTGCACTATATTTTGCGAGAAAAGCTTGAAAGCCTTTTCTAAAGATTCTATAAAAAGCTGACGTGGCTGCTTTGGTGTGCATGAGTGGTCACATAGTAATATAAACTTGTATTGGAGAATACTATTCTTGCGAGATAAAAAAGGGTAACCTCGATTTTCTTTCCTTGGAAAGTCGAGCTAATTGGAGTGACATGTGAGATGAGGCACATCCACATAACCTTTGTGGTCCGAAGGTTATTAAAGAGACTGAAAGACTTGTGGTAGTTAAAAGTGAGTTCCAGAATAATATTGCACAATCAAAGGAGGAAGTGGCAAATTTATGGTGTTATATTTGCATCTGTAACTGGTCCATCCTAGACCCTTTTGCATGCCTTGCAGGTCCAATATGATTGATATTTTGTTTCTAGATTAGAGATTTGTTTGGGTTATGCATATTGATTTCATTTAGGAATGAGATTAAGCTTATGTGACTGCATGTGGTAGTGGTGCCTATACAGACCTGTGCAGTTAAGCTCTGGTTGGAGGAAGTTTTAGTAATTGTGGAATGACAGACGTGGACGAATTTGTGGTGATGCGGAGATTTCGCATGCAAAAGAAATTACTTGTTTGCAGGTCTTCGAATTGGAAGAACTGGCCTTTTCCGTCATATAACTACTTAATTTCCTTGACATTTTTTGAGTTGTTAAGAGTTTTTGGTTGCCTAACTGTATACCTTATAAGAGTAAGGCTTTTCCTTAACTTTTATTTTAATTGGAAGAATAGTCGGCCTTCCTAGTTATGAAATGTAGGATGCTTCTGCACGTGGACATATGCTTTTGTAGATTTCCTTCCCCCATCTTTCATCTATCTCAACCATTAGTATGGTGGACTTGAGCATTATTTTATAATTAATGAACTTCATAGAACACATATTTGTATACACACATCTACATATATGCAATACCTGTTCATCTATGTGAAATTTGGAGCTATTATCATTAGGTTATGAGTTGAAATTGGAAGGAAAGCCTGCTTTCCACTATTTCTGGAACTCTGGTTTCCTCTATTTATGTTTTACACACACATAAACATGTATTCCATATAACAGTCACCCAAGATCTTTGGTTAGCTGCCATTTTAACACCATGTTTCCATGTCCACAAGTCTTCGTTTTTGCTTTTATTGGTAGGCTAAGAGTTCAAAAGATTTTTTTTCCTTGTCATGTGAAGTGGAGATGGACGTGCACCATTTCTGGTGAATTATAGTGTTTTGTTTCTCATCTTGCAGTGCTGACAGGTCACATCTAAAGAGGAAATTAGATCTTGAATTCCAAATCCGTGAAGAAGAGTAAAACATATACACTGCAGGCATTTGTCTTTTTGTTCAAGGGATGCATCGTTGCTTCATGAGGTCTGTGAAGTCATCTGAAGATTACGTCAACTGGCTTTGAAGTTATGATCTATTTTCTCTATTATTATTTATAAATACTTTTATCACTAACTATATTTGGTGAAATTATTAGGGGGACGAGTCCTCGGTGAATGGATATCATCGTTGTATCAGCAGATTGGAAGCACCGACTTAAAAGGGGGAAGTAATTCCTTTTTATGCTCCTCTTGGATGTGTACACCAGCCCATGGATGGCCAAAATTTTCAAGTTGTTGATTGCGATAATTAAATGGTTTTGCAAAAAACTGATACATATTTGGGGAATAAGATCCCAACATTTTATTTTGTGTGATACTTGAGTGAAGTTTGCTATTATATTATGAAACAAGTTTTTCGGTTTTTGTTTGATACATATTTGGGCAAAGTTCCATGTTTTTTCAATCCAGTTTGCTGCTTTTGCTAGAAATATTAAAGCTTGTGTGCTCATACTAACCAGAGTTCATGCTCTTGGCATGGATTGATTCAATGGTTTTGGTCAATTGCTTTCCAGGAAAATACTGAGTTGTAAACAAGCAAAGATCAGTTTTTACTTGTGCAACCATAGAATAAGATAAGAATTGAATCCAACTTTAACTTGAAATTGAACGCTGGAATTAACCTAAATTGAATTTGCATTTTGACTTGACTTCTGGAATTTGAGTGCTCAGAGTTAAAGAATTCGGCTTGGAGTGCAGTTCAACTTGAACTTAGGTCCAGAGTTTTACAATTTGGGTTAAATACAAATTGATCTTTTAATTCCACATTGTTGTAGTGCAGTTTACATTCCACATTTTAGGCGATTGACAATGATCTTGGTCTTAAGATGGGGGAAGGGTTGGCTAAGTCTCAATCAAGTCAAGTCATCTTGTGGTCAATACTCGAGTCGTAACCCGTCCTAATTAGATATGTGTTAGTTTATTGGACATTAACTTGATTTATTTATTATACTATTGATATTCGGCTTGATTTAATTCTTAGCAAAGTAAGTTTATCTATGTCAGCCTAAACTTGAATAGTCGCAATAGCAAGAGCAAATGACTTTTTGTTTTCATTTCTTAATAATAGTTGATGCACACGTGTATTGAATGTGAATTATTTTGAGTATAAAATTTACTTTAAAACATATACTACTTTTTCTAAAAGCTACATATGTTGACTAATGCAATGTTTAATTGAGTTGTTGAAGCAAATTCATTGCTATGTATTTCGTCCTTTTTTCATTGTTTTTGTAGTTTTTCTTCTATTCTATTTCTTGCAAACCTGTCTTTCATTTTGGAGATATACAAAGATAATTTGTGAAGACTGAGTTAATAAGAAAATAAGACTACAAAACCCTAGCATTATAAAACAAGTGGTGACTAAGTCTACCAATTAAATGGAAAGGTGAGTATATTATACTTACACTTAATAGACATCCACATGAATTAGCTTATCGACTCCCCGAACAATACTATAAGAATTAGTACTGAACATCCTCCTGTAATTGTACATGCTCCCATAGCAATAACATATTTTGGTCTACCAATTAAATGGAAAGGTGAGTATATCATACTTACACTTAATATCACTAATAACTAAAGGTGCAACCCCTTTGTTCTTTCCTCATATTCCTTTTTATTGAGACAGTAAGAAGAATGTTTTAATATATTTAAACCCCATGATAACAATTTGTCAACATAACATTTATGGTCTGTGATGCCACCTTATCCAGATGAAATTTTTTATGTCCCGAGAAAATGTCATTTTTCGTGCTTAGAAGAACTTGAATTTTTGATCTTTGAGTTTAGTGAATGTAAGAAGATCTACAACTAACGTTAAAGATGTAACTAAAATAGATTAGGGCCGGCCCTATAATATAAAATAAAAAAAAAGTGTGGGCTTTAGGCCCCACATATGAAAAAAGGTCCCTAATTCAAAAGTCAATAATGTAATATAAGTTAAAAAAAAAAAAGAAAAATTAGGGTTGAATCCTCCTGAATGGACTTATAATAAATTGAGTCTATCAAAGAAACTTATTTGGTGAAAAGTTCGTTTTTTATCTTACTAATAAGTATTTAAATCCATTATTTTTTTAAATCTCAAAAATATCATTAACAGCGTTATTCTGTTCAATTATAGAAACCTTAAAGACCTTGAAAGTAGTTTTAAATTAATTTCTTAAATTAGAAATTATAATCCTTTAATTCACTCATAAATTGAAATTCAAATTTATATTCTCTCTGTCTCTTTATCTGTCGTTAGAAGAAGATCATCACTTCAGTACAACAAATATTTCTCCATTGATATCATTTTTTCCGTTTGGAACATCATCAACAACAATCATATCTTCTACTGTGTTCCGCTCATCATGTCGTTGGTTTTCGGGAAAAAAAAAGGTTGAAAAAACTTGCTTAATGTGTTATTAGTTTGATTCCCAATTTTATTTTTATTTTTTTGATAAATAATCCCCAAAATTTTTCAATGTTTCATGTTACTACGTTTTTTGTTGACCATGTTACTATTTTTTCTAATTGATCATCTTATTATTTTTTTTCATGTTAAAAAAGTCTCATTGATTGCCATGGCTTTAAATCTCAAATATTGTTGAACCGTCCTTGAAATAGATTGAGTACATTAAAAAAATAGTTTGCCCAAGGGTTTTCTATAAATGTAAACTACGGATTACACAACTCAAGATAAATTCAAGTTCAACTGTGATTAAATCAAGTTGATTCTAAAATCATACAACTTGCACTAACATTCGTGTTCAGCTTAGATTAAACCTAAAGTTGATTCTCGATTACAAATGTCAAGTTAAAATTCGATTGAACTAAAATTTTCTAATTCAGGTAGGGGTGCAACTTGGGTTGGACAACCCGATTTCAACTCGAGCTCAACCCGAAAAAAATTAGGACTTGGGCAAGGGTTTTTAATACTTGAATTGGGCTTGGGTTAAAAAATCCCAACCCGAATTCAATTTGAGATGGGCTCGGGTTAAGGCTTCGGGTTCACGGGTTCAACCTGAACCCGACAAATTAAACAAAAAATTATATATATATATATAAAGTATTAGCGCTGATTTTTCTTTTTTGTTCTATCGTTCTCTATCTCTCTCGTTCATTTCATTTTTGTCCCAGTATTAGTACTGTTAAAAACTTGGTGATGTTATTGGTTGTTAATTAAGGTGAATATTATGTAATATATGTATTAGGTTTAAAACAACAAGCCTATTTTTGGCTCTATCCAAACTCAACCCGAATTGAACTCGTAAAGTAACTTGAAATCAACTCGAAATCATTAACCTGAATTCAACCCGAGCCCGTCCGAATTAAACTCGGGCAGTGATCGAGTTGAGTTCCTCAATCCGAGGTAGGTTAGGGTTGAAGATTATATATTTAGAGTTGGGTTAGGGTTGACTGTCCAACCCGATCGAGTTGCACCCCTAAATTCAGGCTAGATCAGTCTAGAGAACTCAAGAACCTAAGCAACCTAAATTCAATTTAAGTTGAAATTTCTTTAAACAAACCCAATATTAGAACAAAAAATCTCTACTCAAATGCTAAAATTCCAGCCTACCATTTTCAGGCTGAAATCAAATTCAAGAACACCCATAAAAATAACAGCTCCCAATGCATGAACAAATTTCAATCTTTACGAGATAAATAATATAATGACAATAACCAATTTTAGCTTTCTGTAAGTGACAACTTGTCTAAGCACTTGTACCCAACAGACTTGAACTCAACTCCCTATATCATTCTCAGTAGCAATTGAGTAACATACGTGACAAATTCACATAATCTGAGACATGGATAAGGTTTACTTACAATCCAAGGGACAAGCATTCAAACGAATGTACATCCTCATTTAGAGATTTTAATACAAATCTAGTACATTAGAAAATAATAAAAAAGTCAACAGACATACCATTGGATCCTTCTCATAAGCACTTTGATCTGAAATGAATTCTGTAAGAGGCAAAAAATCGAGATTACCTCCTACTGGAATTGAAATATGAATGGGTTTCTGAACTTGATCTCACAGTCTTCCTCTTCCAGCAAAACGAACAAACTACCCAAGATTGAAGTGCTTCCATCGAAGACACTCTGATACTTAAGTCAGTAGAGATAATGAAATGAATGGAAGAAGACAAGGAGGGTTCAGTATACCTTTCTTCTTGGCTCCTTTTGCTTTTTATAGTTGGATATCCCCTTAGGGTTTTCGTAATTCTTGATTTAAGGTGGCACACCTTCCTCCAATTCAGTGATTCGGTTTGGAAAGTTGCTGATATTTCTCCATTATTTTCTTCTGATATCTTCATTATTTTCTTATTTTTTGGCTCCTTGAACAATGTATTTACTCCAAAAAATGGAGACTTCTAGGGATATCCATCCTTCTCATTCTTCCTTTCTTCCTCTCTATTTGGCTTAGTCTGTTTGTCTCTTTCGAACTGTCTCTTGCTCGAATGTTCTTTGACCCCGTCCCTGGATAAGTTGTCATCGACCTTGGCATACTTTTCAATTCTAGACATCAACTCTTCTAGATCCGTGGTTGGCCTTCTTGTGAGTGACTGATATAGGGGGTTCTCCTTCGGCAACCCGATCTTGAAGGATGCAACTGCAATATTTGGATTGCAAGCTTCAACCTCATTCATAGTTTCCCAATAGCGATGAGCGTTCTCTCGCAGGCTTTCGTTATTCTTCTTTTTTAGCGTCAATAGTGCTCCAACATCCTTCAACTGCTTGCTGCTCGTTATGAACCAAGCTGTGAACTGCTCGTCTAACTGGGACCACCCATCAATAGTTCCTCTTGGTAGGCTGTCAAACCACTTCATGGCTAACTCTCCAAGACTGCTAGGGAAGATAGTACAGAGTAGGGGCTTATTCGATGAATGGTCATCAGCTATTTGTAATATCTAATGTGCAAGGTTGGGTCAGTCTTTCCGTCATATAGTCTGAAGTTCGGGACAATGAATTTGCTCGGTATCCGTCCCTTTTCAATCCAAACTGTAAATGGAGATGACTCTGAACCGTCTCCATATTCTCCTGTCGCTCTTTTGGCCAAATCCCTAGCCGACCTCTGTTCTGGTCTCCTCAAGCGGTTATTGAGTTCCTCGGTAATGTACTGTTTCCATGCAATTTCCTCCTGAACCCGAGATTTCTTCTGCTGGTGACAATCTTCATTGTTGCTTCTGTATCTATCGGGTTTCCTTTCAGGACTTTCCCAATGGCTTTCCCTTGCACGTTTCTCTTTCCTAGTCAGCTGTTTTATTCTGGTTTTAAGCTCTTCGTTTTCTTTGATCAGATCTTTTTCTCTGGCATAAGACTTCTTGAATAACTTGTCATGAGCATCAAGTCTGTCCTGCAGGGATTGAACCA